TATTTTGAGAGAAATCTTGCTGTGTGGCAGCTTTAAGTGTGAAACAGTTTTTAAAATGTAGGAGAATGGTGGTACAGATTATTGTACTCCATGTATTTATCTGTCTCATTCTGAGCATCTTCACTCTATATAGTGCCATTATATAGGTAGAAGTAATTTATCAGAATCTCTGTGGGAGGCATAAATTGTTTCCATTGTGTCATCTCTTTAAAATCAATGCACAGAAAAAATAAACAAATAAATAAAATTTAAAAATGTACAGCGGGCTGGGGATATAGCTCAGCCATGCAGTGCCTGCCTGGCAAGCCTGAGGTCCTGAGTTAGATTCCTGGTACCCCCCCCCCCCGCCAAAAAGAACGTACTGTATAATCATCAGCCAAATGACTGTACTACCCCAGATCATACATCTGCTATTTGCACGTCTGATATGCTGGAGCCAAGTGGAGTTAATACCTAGCTTCACGGTAGTGGATTAGCAAATAAAAAGTGCTGTGAACCTAATAGGAAAATAGGAAGTGTCAGGAGAATACTCCCATCCTTCTTTCCTTTCCTCCAAGCTTTTAGGTTTTTATGTGCTGAGACCCCTCTGGGGAGATCTCCCTGTCTCTGAGCTTTGGCTGCAGGCTGGAAAGTGAACTGGTGTGGGGGGTGCTCCACCACCCCCCTTAGTCATCTTTGGTCCTAGTTTCTCTCCTAAGCAGACAGCGTGTGGCCCCTGCTTTAAAATATTAATCTCATCACCTGTCATTCCACCATTCTTCATTGACATCGTTGGATTTTAAAAAGATTTTTAAGACCCTCTTTTAAAATGCAAATACCCCTGAGAGAGGTCAGACCTTAGTTTTTAGCTAACGTCTCCCCTTACCGTGTTTGACTGAGAAGAATGAAACCCTCACTAAAAATGATCAACTTGAAGGAAACTAGCCTTTATAATAATTTTATTATTCCTAACAACTAAGATGTATGAGGGTCCTATCATTATGTGCCAGGATGTTCTAAGTGCTTTACAGGTACAAGTACGTTTAATTCTCTCAACAACTCTGTTAGTATGTATTACTACCGATATTTTACAGACGTGAAAACTGAGTTACATAAAGGAAAAGTCACTTACGGTACAGAGTAAAAATGCAGCCACTTGTTAAAAATAAACTCAGGCGTTTGGTTCCAAGCATGCGATTCTTCTCCCCTGCTGTAGTGTCTCTCAAGAGGACGTCTGGTTACGATACCACCCTTTTCATCATCCTTGCATCAGATAAAGTCATATTCAGTTACAGAAACCTTTTCTTGTTGAAGGTCAACCTTGGTTCCATCTAAACAGATTTTTAGTAACAACTGCGGTGAAACGGAAATTTCATTCTAACTGAAAGGAATGTATTTGCAGACTTAAAAAGTTGCGGAGAGATTAGTGTGTAACTTATCATATCCTTATGTTTCTGAGCTGTTTTTACTTAAAACTTACACAATTAACTGTTCATTATTTTTAGAGGTTTGAAAATGTTAATTATTCATTTGAAATGTTATTATAATTATTACTCATTTGAAATGTTATTAATAAATATAATCTGCAGTCCCATTACTGAACAGTAACATTTTATATATTCTTGCCAGGCTTTTTCTATTAAGTCTTCTTTTCTGAATGTTGTCTCGAGTGTTAATTCATTCTACCCCTTTTAAAAAATATTTACATGAAGTAATTTTCCTTGAGTGTAAATAAATGACATTTCCCTCATTGTTCCTGAAAGATTTTCAGCTAATTATTATTCATGACCCACCATAAATACAGTGTTTAAATTTTCTCTGCCTTCTTTTTTCAATACTTTTTTTTTTTTTTTTTTTTTTTTGAGAAAGGGACTCACTGTGTAATTCAGGCTGGCCTTGAACTCGTGGCGGTCCTCTGAGTGCTGGGATCACAGGCATGCACCACCATGCCCAATGCATTTCAGTACATTTTGAATGAAAGTAGGAAGAAGACAGCCTTAGATTCTTTCCGTAACCTCCACATCGAATCCGTTTTCTGAGCCAATGTGTGTTAACATTAAATCTACCCCTGCCCCCTTCTTCAGAACTGCTCCCCTGCTACAGCTTTAATTTCCATATGCGCTCTGGATTAGTAGAGTCTCTTTACTCACCCTCCTCCCAGGTCTGTTTGCCGTTCAGCTCTCTCCTTAACATACTGACCTATCATGTCCTTCCCTGCAGAATTCCTCAGGGCTTTGTGTGCCCCATAGATCTGGATCAAGCTCGGGGATGGTGACAGCAAGTAATTCTCCAAATCCCGGCTGCCAGAAAGGGGTCTAGAGTGGCATCGGGGGTGTGCAGGGTTGTACATCCCCTCGCCCCGCTGACCCCCCTTCACGGGGAAGGGCCGGTGCACAGGTCTTCTGGAGTGTCCGCCCTCACTGGGCGTAGTTCTCTGTGTCTAGCAGAATGATGCTAGGTACTCAGTAACCTTTTGGTGGTGTTAAGGATAGGGTGGGAAGACCATCTAGGACCCACATTGCAGTAGTCCTGGTGAAGCTCAACTGTGGCTTGGACCAGGTTCACAGCAGTAGACTTCCTTTTTGTTTTAGAGACTGGGGTCTTGTTACATAGCCCAGGCTGGTCTCAAACTCATGGCGATCCTCCTGCGTCAGCCTCCTGAGTGCTGGGATTACAGGTGTGTATCACCACACGCGGCTGTAGCAGTCAGATTCCAAAGTAGTAGTGGTTTAGGTTCAGCTTGAGGAGAGAGCCACCCATTTCTCTTGAAAGACTGATGTGGAAGGAAAGAGGTCAAGGGTAGGTCCAAGGGTTTTGCCTCAGTACCGTACCCAGGTCATAGGACCCTGGAGTGTATTCATCAGTTATATCCCATCAGCAACTGTTACTGAATACTTGGAGCTCTGATTTGACCAGAGTTCAGAGCTGTGGAAATTTCAAAGGCAGAGAAGTCATCTTAAAATGTCACTTGAAATATGTGTACCAGTGAGGGTTGGGACTGCTTGGTCTTCAGTCCATAGTCAGTGTTCCCAATTGTTCTCAGTGTCTAAAAAGTACAGAGTGAAAGGCTCTTGGTCATAAGGAGGCTTCACATAAAGCGGTAGAAAGGCATCAAAGCTTCACCTGTGCAGTTTCCTGGCATCCTGGAGGGGGCAGCTGCAGGTGCGTTTCATACTGTCTTGTTTGCTGCCTTACACATTTAAATCAGCCATGTTACATATGATCTCAGTTTTCTGCAACTAGGTCCTCACTTGCACCTTGCAGTTTCTATTCAGTTTATGTTCAGTCAATGAAAATCAGTGTTTTATTATTACTATTTTTTAAACAGAGTTCTGTTCATTATCTAAGTACCTGTCGCAGAAGTATTCTTGACTTTAACTGATCAAGAAGCAAGTTCTGAAAAAAAAAAAAAAAAAAACAAGTTCTGGATCAAACATTAATAGGGTTATGTTATTTTTTAAAATAAGAATAAAGCTGGGCATGGCAGCACACATCTTTTTCATTTTTTTATCTTCTTGCCTTTTTATTTTTTAAAAAAGAATAACATAATTTTAAATATGCTTAGACTTGCTATAATGTAAAAGTTAATTATATTGCCGCCCATTTACTATTCTTCATTTCTTTATTTGCATACATATACATTCCTGAGAATATTCAAATACAAAAGCATATTCTCATTTGCCAGGTACAGTGGTGTACACCTGTGATCCCAGCTACTAAGGAGGCTGAGGCAGGAGGAACACATATTTGAGGCCAGCCTGGGAAACAGCAAGACCTCATTTTTAAAATTTATTTATTTATTTATTTATGTATTGTCTTTTTGAGACAGGGTCTTGCTCTGCAGTTCAGGCTGGCCTTGAGCTCACTTTGTAGCCCAGGCTGGCCTCGAACTCGCAACGATCCTCCTGCCTCAGCCTCCCGAGTGCTGGGATTACATGTGTGCATCACCTCTCCTGGCTAAGAACTCTTTTTTTAAAAAAAAAAAAAAGCATTGGGAATATGGCTCGGTGGTAGAGCACCCCTGGGTTCAGTCCCAGGGCCACAGACAACACAACAGTCTCTTCTTTCTTTCTCCCCATGACAAACTGTCAGGTCCATCAGGTCAGAGTATGTTATGTAGTCATGTGTTAAAGTTACTGATTTGTTAAGTGGAAAGTCAAATTTAATGCAATTAAATCAGATATTTCATATGACTTATTTATGTAGATAAAATATAAAGGTTGCTGGGTGAGGTGGAGCACATGTGTAATCTAAGCCCTTGGGAGGCTGAGGCAGAAGGATTGCCACAAGATCCAGAACAGCCTGGGCTCCATAGTGAGTTCAAGGCTAGTCTGAACTGTGTAGCATGACCCTGTCTTTAAAAAAAAAAACAAAATTAAGGCTTATCAGTATAGCTACCATTTATTGAGCACTTACCATAGGTCAGATAAATATTTTATATTTCAGTCATTGAACAATTCTGTTGGAAGTTGGGATGATTTTCCATCTTGTAGATTAGGTTTAGAGAAGTTAAGACAGTTCCTGGAAATCATATATCTTACAGTATGCAGCAGAGGTGGAATTCAGACACATGCATTTAACTGTAATTATGCTGAGTAACTCCACAGAGGGCTCAGAATATTTGTAAGTATTATGGGATATATTTGGGTCTTGGTAAATTTTTAAAACCAGAAGTCTAGTTTTGGAAACTACCTTCAGACTTGGGTAAAGAGGAAGAGATCTTAATCTAGTTGCATGAAAAGTGGCCACTACCCATTTTCACCCCTAGACGGTGGCAGAAAATTAAAAGTTCTGGAGACAGAAAAAGCGTAAAGTGAAATGTACGTTCTTTAAGGACAAAGTAGATGAGAGATTAGGTAGTGGAGGTCAGTGAGAGTGAGAGCTGAGTGTGGTGGTACGACAAGGGGCCCGGATCAGAAGCAGAGCGAACCCATTTATTATTCTTGGGAAAGTACTGTATAAAAAAGGAATATTGGGTTCTTGATTTTATTTTATCAGAGAAACTGACGTTGTTTGCTTAGTTTTCAGATGCCGTGGGCGTGTGAACAGAGGCGTGTCTGGGTTGCGTGTTTCTCAGAGGGACTCCGTGAACGCTAGCGATGGATAAGTGCAAACACATTGGGCAGCTGCAGCTTGCTCAAGACCATTCCATCCTCAGCCCTCAGAAGTGGCACTGTGCGGACTGCAGCACCACCGAGTCCGTCTGGGCCTGCCTCAGCTGTCCGCACGTCGCCTGTGGGCGCTACATTCAGGAGCACGCGCTCAAGCACTTTCAGGAAAGCAGCCATCCTGTTGCGCTGGAAGTGAACGAGATGTACGTTTTCTGTTACCTCTGTGACGATTATGTCCTGAACGACAATGCAGCTGGAGACATGAAGTTACTCCGAAGTACATTAAGTGCAATCAGAAGTCAGAATTACTGTACCACGCGGAGCGGAAGGGTTTTACGGCCTGTGGATACAAGTGGCGACTCCTGCCTCTTCCACAGCGACACCCAGCCTCAGCTTCGGAATGAAGGTCAAATGTGTGCTGCTCTTTGGCACAGGAGAAGGATGCTCATGGGGAGAACCTTTCGGACTTGGTTTGAACAATCGCCCATTGCAAGAAAAAGGCAAGAAGAACAACTTCAGGAAAAAATAGCAAAAAGAGAAGTGAAAAAAAGACAGCAAGAGCTGTTAGGGTGTGAAGGGAGAGCAGAGCTGGAAAGTGCGCCTCCCAGAAAGAGCTCGCGTTTGCAAGGTGTGGCTCACTCTGCTCGCTCTGCCTCGGTGGCTGTGGCTCCTGTTCGGGTCCCCCCACAAACCCCAGCGTCACCAGCCAAGGGGAAAGTCGTGTGTACCTTAGAGCACGGGAGGCTGGAAAAAGCCAGCGACGCCTCCGCTAAACAAAGGCCGGTAGTGACTCCTGGTGTAACGGGATTGAGAAATTTGGGGAATACTTGCTATATGAATTCTGTGCTTCAAGTGCTGAGTCATTTACTTATCTTTCGACAGTGTTTTTTAAAGCTTGACCTGAACCAGTGGCTGGCTGTGACTGCTGGTGACAATACAGGATCCTACAGCCGTCCTTCCGCGGCAGATAGCCTGGTGTATCAAATGAGTGAGTGCCGTGACAAAGACCCAGGCTTTCTTTGCTCCAGACACTCAAGCATATCACCAAGACTAAGTGGCGGGGCATTAAAAAGCGGAAATACGGAACTTATCCAAGCCAGGGAGCCCAGTTCACAGTGTTTATCTCTCTGTCACGAACTGCATACCTTGTTCCAGGTCATGTGGTCTGGAAAGTGGACCCTGGTCTCACCCTTCGCTATGCTGCGCTCCGTGTGGCGGGTAATTCCTGCTTTTCGTGGTTATGCCCAACAAGATGCTCAGGAATTTCTCTGTGAACTTCTGGATAAAATACAAAATGAACTAGAGACAACGGGGAGGGTGCCGGCGCTTCTCCCCACTTCTCAGAGGAAACTTATCAAGCAAGTTCTGAATGTTGTAAATAACATTTTTCATGGGCAACTTCTTAGTCAGGTATGGATCTTTTAAAATCTTATCTCCACCTTGAGGAATCCCTAAAGTGAAGCCTAAAGATGCATGTCCTGTGTACGGCTAGTGTGCCAGAGCTTAGCCCACTCATTTGCAGCTGTCCTCATTGGAAGTAGTTCTACATTCATGGAACCAGAAGCTTTCTGAGGAGAGGAGGGAACAGTTTACTAGGCTCATGATGTTCATTCTCGGAGGGATTAAAAAGGTCGGATCCCAGAGGGAGCAGTGTAGGGATGCTGCTGTCTGGGGAAGGGCTGTGTGTGTGTGCACACTTGAGCAGTGGTCCTAGAGGACCCCAGGAGAGCCAGAGGGCCAAGTCCTGCGCAAGTAGGTGGGGAAGTGTAAAGGTAAACGAAGGTGGTTTCATCCGCAGTGATAACCCTAACGGTCTTCCTTCATTTCTATTGTGAAAAGTAGCAGCAAAACGGGGACTGTCGCGAACTGTTACTAGAGCAAGGCTCCTCCTGCCTTTCCCGTAGCGCACAGCTGCACTGGTTTTAACGAGGTAACTAGGCCTTTATGTCATTTCCTTCCCCTGCATACCTGCTCTGTCATTTCAGCTTTGCATTGTAAAATTTTTATTTTTATACCACTTTTGTAGAATATTGCTTAAGTGTTTCAGATGCAATTCTTTTTTTTTTTTTTTTTTTTTTTTTCCGGTACCGGGAACCGAACTCACAAGCTTGCACTTGCCAGGCAGGCGCTTTGCTGCTGACCTATATCCATGTGAAACCACTCCTGTTATATGCCAAG